ATAGCAAACAATGCATGCAGGGCAGAATTAAGCCGTTATCCTTTGATTATTGACATTCAGAAAAGAGCGTAACAATTCTGGATTCATCTAAAAACAAGCGAATCAAATTCCCTCCAATATAAGGCCTTCCTATCCCAAGAGCTAAGTCCCAATAGAAGTCCTCAAAGTCAGCTAGCCATTAAACTAACAAACCAAATAACAACTAACAATACTAACTATGACATGTTTCAGACCAGCACTGCTTCAATTAAAATAAGCCAATTAATAAATCAAATAAAAGATTCTCATTTGGAACATTGGAAAAAAATGACAAAACCACAAACAAATTAAATTGCTACACTATGTTAAGCAGAAATTACAAACTGGCAGACCACTGTCAGAGATATGAAGCAGAGACAGATCCAAACCAAATACAGACTAAGTGATCACAGCCTGGCCATTGAAACAGGCAGACACAAGCAAACCTGGTGCCCCAAAGAGGAGAGGATATGTCATCACTGTGAGACAGGTGAGGCTGAGACAGAGCAACACTTCTATACTGCACAAATTACACAAACATTCACAAAGACTTCTTTGAAAAATTTAAAAGAATATATCCAAATTTTGAAACATTCCCTGAGGAGAGACAATTACCAATCTTACTGGGTGAAGGACACACAGCCTCCCTGGCTGCTCAATATGTAGCAACCTGTCACCAGTGCAGTGTTTTTTCCCCCGTTATTAATTGTGTTAATTGTTCTGTTATTGTGTTAACTGTACCATTTGCTTTGGCAACACAGCCCATGTCATGCCAATAAAGCACCTTGAAATGATGTGCTGCCTAATGTTTGAAATATGAGCCTAGAGAATGTTGGTCAAATTAATTGTTGATTGCTCAGAAAATGGGAAAATTCACAAAGATCATCAGGGAATGATAAAATAGCTATCTAATCAGGGTCTAATCTCCTTCTCCCCATGTAAAGCTATGCAAATTATGAGAGCTTCAGTGCTGATGCGATCACCAAGAAAAGGGCACGCCACGTCCGACAAACTATCTCCTACCTACATGCTGCAGGTTCTGCAGGTGTTCTAATGAGTAGCTCCAGGATAGTTTAAGTAAACCTGTTCACTTGCTCGCTCTCACACACACACACACGCACACATGCATGCACACAGACACACACGTGCTCCAGAAGGGGGAAGAGCCAGACGGAGAGAGACAGGTGGTAGCCCCCTGTGGTTGGGCATGTTTATCAAAGGATTCTATATTTGGGGGCATCTTAGGGCTTACCAACAACAAAGAGGGTCGTACCACGCCCAATTCTGCTTTTAACTGGTAACCCCAAATGTACATCCATTTTGGCTGTCATAAGTGTTTTTTAGTTTCTGAGTAAAGCTCTGCTCCTTGTCATGCTTGAAAAGCCTGTTGCCTCTTTGGTCACTGGTAAATAACCCCACATCATTTGTCCCTCTCAGGCTGTGTCTGGGTGCATGGCAAGGGACCATAAAAGAAAGGAGCAGGGTAAATAACCATAAAATGCATGTTGCTGTCTCGACATTAGTCTATGGATAGAACACACACACGTAATCCCACTTTCACACTGAACTTCAACACAAGATAATTCTGGTGAGGAACCACACAGCTGGCAACCCTAAGACTCATGGGGTTTTATCCTGCTTTACTTTGCTGTGATAGGGGAGCAAGAAGAGAGGGATGGGACCAATGTGGACAAAGGAAGGAAGGCTGAGGAGAGAGGAGTAAATTGACAGAAGGAGCTGTTTAACATTTCTCTGTTTTGAGCCATAATCATGAACTATTTACTAAAGGTCACAACGTACACAACACTACTCACCCCAGTGTCTGTAGTTTACAGTTTGGACTCTTCAGTCCAGCACAGAGCACCTTCACTCCTGAATCTCCCAGGTTATTGTTGCTGAGGTCCAGCTCTCTCACGGGTGAGTTTGATGACTGGAGAGCTGAGGCCACAATTTCACAGGACTCCTCTGTAAGACCACAGCTGCCGAGTCTGAAAGAAAGAGGTGATGTGTTAATATTTAACACTTAATATTTTAAATGCAATATTGATAGTGCTCACTGATAAAGAGTGATAATGAGGATTGTAAGATCTACAATGCTCTGAGGAAGATGTCTGTGCTACACTCTCCAACTGCAGCACTTTACACCTGAGAATAAGATGTCCTGCATAAGTCTGACAGTTCTACATCTGTGGTTCTGACCCAAATAGCCCCTTTTCCTCTGTTCAGTTCTGTCAGAATTTGGGGCTAATGGCCCAGCTACCTTTTCCACAGTCTTTTTCAGGCTAACTCTGGGCTTTAAGCCTCACTCATGGCCTGACTCATTCTGACACACGTCAGAATGGCTTTTTGTGCACTGAAGGGCCCTGCTCATGTAAACAAATCAAAGGTGATGCTCTGGGCAGATCCCAAAACAGCCACGTCAGCTAATTTTATCATTCCAATTATAAGGTGGTGTACAGTCTTAGTTCCTCTGACATTGTACATATCCTGCTGTGAGAACTGTTCCCTCTGCACAAAGCTCCTGATAAAAAGCTTCTCTGAAGAAGCCTGGGTCTCCCCAGCCTTATGGAAACTAAGGAGTGTATGGTGGAGGCAGTGACACTAAAAAACCAGTTTTCCAGGAGCAAATGGTCCTAAAATGGCACCCTGTTTTACTGTGTGATGTAACACAGAACCCTGCGGCCCAGAAAGATGTTGTACACCTTCTCTGGTGTGTGCAGGAGAGAGCCACAAGAGGAAGGCCTGTTTCATCCCCAGACCATGGATGGGTGGATCTTACTTGCACAGAGTAATAGACTTCCATTCTTTATCACCAAACACCTACCAAGCTAAGTGTTGAGCAAACAAACTGAACATTACAGCATTAAATATCTTTACCATACTTCTGTGAAATGGTTTAACTGATGTTGTTATACTCTATAAGTAAATAAAAGACATGTCCCTTGTCTCTGTAATTTAAGAAAGAGAGGTAGATTAGCAGTCAAGCTCATAGCTGCAAGATTCTATACCATGTTCCTGTGTTTTATGTGGTTTCATCATTGGCAACAGCAAACACTATGCTTACATTTACGACTCTGTGGCACTGTATTAGCAACTGCTGCAAGTATACTAATAAATAGCACAGAACAAGAAAAGGTAACTAGCATTACACGAATATGAAACTCTATTGGTAAGTTACATTTTTAAGAGAGTAGCAGAGTTGAGAGAGCGGAGAATACTGGCTGTTTTCTCTATAGTTTGGACTAAGTGAGCCACCATAATATCATCAATAGTGTTAATGTGTTTGTGTGGATATGTATGGTGTGCGTAAGACATGAAATACATTGCTGGCTTTGCTCATAATGCCACAACCCCATTTCATGATAAAGAGTTCTGAAAGGAATTCCTTCCTGCCCATGCCTCATCCAACAGGGAGTCAGGGTGTTTTCTCAAATGATGTTCTCAGCCCCACGCTGTCAACCTTTTGCCCATGCATGTGGCTCCTCCAATTTGCTGCACAGTTTGCCAGTAGAGGGCACTACAGAGCAATGAGACAGATAATGTGACTGGTTTACAGTCTGTTTTTATCTGTTTAGGCTGTGCTAACATTGTCTCTCCAAAGTGAACCTCCAGTCATTGTAGCATGGGGTGTTGAACATTTTAAACTGATAATATAGGGAAGTGTCTCAAAATGCAGGTGTTGATTAAAACAGGGCAGTCAGGAGAAAAGAGAGCTATGAGTGGAGCTTCTGGAGTGATAAAGGTTGCTCGTATTTATAGCAAATATCCCAGCGGTGTCTGGGAAAACAGACATATGAGATACAGACAAAACTGGTCAATTATTTTTGTGGCATCAGTTACAAACAACTGACTTAAAAATACTTTCCTTCAGGAAAATAAAACCTTTTATCAAGCCATATTACAAAATTGGAGACAGCGTAAGGCCATGGCTTAATCTGTACCAGCAGATAGCTGGCTTACGCTGTAAATGGCAAATGCAGTTGTTCCTAACTTGAAGACCACATACTTGGCTCTAGAAAACTGTCAGATACCTCTCTTCATATTCTGCAGTACAGTCAACCCCTGCTTCTTCGGACTTCACTTCCCCGGACATTCAATTGTCCGGACAACGTCCGGGGTCGGGACGATTGTCCGATGCAGCCGTGTCTGTCCGAAGAATGACAACTTTGACCGATAGGTGGCTCTCTCATGTATACTGTATATGCATATTGTACCATATTGTAGCCTAGGAGTATGTGTGCGAGACAATATAGGCTGTTTATTGTACAGTACTGTACAGTACTCAATTTTCAATGTCCGGACTTTTTCAATGTCCGGACATGGCCCAGTCTGTACTAATCCGAACAAATGAGGGTTGTCTGTACTTGGCAATGTCTCACAGAAACCAAGTTAGCAATGCAGCTAGCTAAACTTGGCTCAGAGACTCCTGGGCTCTAGTTACACCCTCAGTGTTTGGAGAAAGGACACAATAACTATGAGAGATGTGAACAATTTGTCGATTCATTGATTGTTGGTCGACAGATAAGTGGGCGAAAATCAGTTTTTATTAGGTTTTTTATTTTTTTAAGTTCAATATGTGGGTCAATGACAATATTTTTATTGTTATGGTTGCTATTTTGTTTTAGCCTACTACTTTTTTTTTTTTTATCTGTGTAACTTCAAGATGTGGATGGATGTTTAGGCTATTTTGCAAAACCAAACTTCTTGTTTCATTAAATAGAGTCTCTTATGAATCAGTCTTTTGAAACATGTTAATTGTTAAGCTGTGCAGTGAGCGAAGAAGCTGACAATAATTTGGTACTCACCAAATGGAACAACATCTTGTGATCTGTGCTGATCAAGTGGCTTAATGTTGTTACTCTGCTACCTCATAGAATTTAAAGATTATTTTTTTGGGGGATTTTTCCACTTTTATTGACAGTCACAGTAGAGAGGCAGACAGGAAATACAGGAGAGAGAGAAAGGGGATGACATGCAGCAAAGGGCCCAGGCTGGATTCGAACCAGGTACGGCCTGGCCTTATGTGGCATGTGCTCTACCGGATGAGCTACCAGGGCGCGCCGACATCATAGAATTTAAAAAAAAAAAAAGATTTGTCTGAAATGTGCCGGCTTCAGCATCAGCTATTTGACTGACAGAAATGCATGTCGTTCTCATACCTAGAAGCTACACAGCACAGGTCTACTGACGATAGATCTACTCCAGGCTTCAAACTGAGCCAGACCAAACAGGGCCTCACAAAAACAGAGGGTGTGGGTCACTTGAACCGATCTAACATGCTGAAGGAGGGAGTGAGGTATGATGCCACTGGATTCAAGTAGGCTGAGTCACAGCTAAAACATTTTCATGAAACCACAAACAACCATCTACAACCATCCTGAGATGATGGTAAATTTCCACCATCCTGAGAAAGTCTTAACGTCATCCTCTTCCTGCAGCTCAAAGACAGCTGGGTACAGGTGACCCTGCTCTTTCTGCTGGACCCAAGTCAAAACAGACATTGCATATTTGTTTTTACAGGCAATTTGGTGAATGGTGTTGAAATCTACCACAGTACAAGGCATCACCAACTGTCAAACTAAGCATATTCCTTCTGAACAATGAACTTGGTTGACTGATAAATTAGAAAGTTTGGATGAAGTGATTTCCCTTTTACGAATTAAAGTAAAGAACAGCTGTTTACGTTCGACAATGTTCTGTCCAGATTTATAAAATGCAACATTTTAAATTGACATGGCTATATTACTAAATTGAAACATAGCTGCAACTAAGGAAGCACTTTCATCTCCAACCTTAAAAGACTGACTGAGTCTCTAACTCACTGCACATGGAGACAGAGCTTCCAGTAAACTTCATCCTCTTACTGCAGCTCTAACTCACAGCACATGGAGACAGAGCTTCCAGTTAACCTCATCCTCTTACTGCAGCTGTAACTCACAGCACATGGAGACAGAGCTACCAGTTAACCTCATCCTCTTGCTGCAGCTCAAACTCACAGCACATGGAGACAGAGCTTCCAGTTACTCTCATCCTCATACTGCAGCTCTAACTCACAGCACATGGAGACAGAGCTACCAGTTAACCTCATCCTCTCACTGCAGCTCTAACTCACAGCACATGGAGAAAGAGCTTCCAGTTAACCTCATGTTCTTACTGCAGCTCAAACTCACAGCACGTTGAGATAGGGATTCAAAATGGATTAACTTACAGGTTCATTATAAATGTACTGTTTCATTGATATCATGGTCAAGTTCTGTAGTCACTCCTGCCTCAATATGGAAAGGAAGCACTTTCTATTGTAACTTCACTGTTGCCTTGTGAAGCCCCATTGTGTATCAGAAACAGTGGCTAGTATTTCACCCTGTCAAGATTATTTTTTCCTTCCTCTTTTGCGTTTTGAAATGCATTTTTGCATAAAGTTAAAAACTGATTTCTATGTCAACTGAAATTGGTAAAGTTTCAAAATTGTAAACATTTATTTCATGTCAGCTGTAGTCAAATGTGTGCACAACTTGCTTCAGATTAAACCATCTGTGGAAGAATGGTGCACATGATCAACAGTCTAACAAAGTTTTCAGTTTGATATATGTAAAATTAGAATTTCACAACACATTCAGTGAATTTCTGTCACGCAGTAAAGCTAAGCTTTTTTAAGGCTTGAGCCTTGGACCCCCTGCCAGGCCCAGTGCAGCCTTCAACGCCCCCAGCTGTGCCCCTGCCCCACCTACACCAGACTGTGTCCAGTGAGAGTGAGGTACAATGAAAGAGTAGTGTAAATAATATCCTGTTTACTTACCTTGGATCAGCAGTGGATTCCCCTCTGAACTTGATAGGAGCACCCATTGACCCATCACTCTTCACTGATATACTGCTGGGTACACGTGACCATGTGCTTCCCACCTGGACCCTGTGAACAAAACATGGAGACAGAGTTTCTATTTAACCTCATCCTCTTCCTGTAGCTCTAACTCACAGCACATGGAGACAGAGCTTCCAGTTAACCTCATCCTCTTACTGCAGCTCTAACTCAAAGCACATGGAGACAGAGCTTCCAGTTAACCTCATGCTCTTACTGCAGCTCTAACTCACAGCACATGGAGACAGAGCTTCCAGTTAAACTCATCCTCTTACTGCAGCTCTAACTCACAGCACATGGAGATACAGATTCAAAATGGATTAACATACACATTTATTATAAATTTACTGTTTCATTGATATCATGGCCAAGTTCATGGCCAGGTCCTTTGGTCGCTCCTGCCTCAATATGGAAAGGAAGCACTTTCTGTTGTAACTTCACTGTTGCCTTTTGAAGCCCCATTGTGTCTCAGAAACAGTGGCTCATATTTCATCCTGTCTGGATCATTCAGAGTCAAAAACTGTTTTCATGTCAACTGAAATTGGTGAAGTTTCAAAATTGTAAACCTTTATTTTAAGTTAGCTTTAGTCAAATGCATGCACAACTTGTTTCAGATCAAACCATTTGTGGAGGATGGGAGCACCCGTTGACCTGTCACTCTTCATCGAGATACAGCTGGGTTCAGGTGACCCTGCTCTCTCCACCTGGACCCTGTGAACAAAACATGGAGACAGAGCTTCCAGTTAATCTCATCCTCTTACTGCACCTCAAGCATAAAGCACAAGGACACAGAGCTTCCAGTTAACCTCATCCTCTTACTGCAGCTCTAACTCACAGAACATGGAGACAGAGCTTCCAGTTAACCTCATCCTCTTACTGCAGCTCTAACTCACAGCACATGGAGACAGAGCTTCCAGTTAACCTCATCCTCTTACTGCAGCTGTAACTCACAGCACAAGGAGACAGAGCTTCCAGTTAACCCCATCCTCTTACTGCAGCTCTTACTCACAGCACATGGAGACAGAGCTTCCAGTTAACCTCATCCTCATTCTGCAGCTGTAACTCACAGCACATAGAGGGACAGATTTTTACATTCATATAGTGCATATTCAATAGTGCAAATTTCCTTTCAAAATTAAGAACATTAGTTCAGTTTTTACTTAACACCAAACACAGACAGGGCATATTTCAAATTCAACCATTTGACAAAAAGGAGTTCCCACAGTCAAGATTTCAAGAAAAATCTGTCATCTTTCCTTGTGTACAGTATTTGAAAGATGATAAAGCACTGAGTGAAATTAATTCATACTGCAGTACAATTATTTTTTAAGGCAATTTAAACAAAAGTATAATAATAGTACATTTTCACAAGCATGTTATCGATAAACCTAGTCAGTTTCCAAATTTAAAGGCTTTTAATCCAAATTTTAATTCTGATTGTGAAATGTTGTCTCTGACAAACATATTTTCTGACAATCCTCAGGTTTAAACGTTAAACAATTAACTTCAAAAATGATTCAAGATCTATGCTGTATATAAAGCACAAATGCAATTTTTACCACAAAATTGGATTCAGTTTCTTTTTAAGTAATAATTTTATGCTTTTCTGGTTGGACATGGCTTGTCCCAATTCTTAAGAATGGGTGACATACAGTATGTGCCTACCTATCATGCACTGCAAATATTATTTATATACATTATTTATTTATAATTCAATGTTTTATTCCTGATTCATGGATTTATATTTTTATATATCTGATTAATGCATTTATACCTCTTGCTGTCAGGGCCAGAGGTTCCAGTGCTCGTCTCGGGGACCTTAGAAACACTCATTTTAGAAACCAAGGAGTCTGGAATATACCAGTACAGGTTGGACCATGAGAGGGTTCTGACCCAGATCAACAGACCTGTAAGCACATAAAATAACAACATATTGAATAAACAGAGATAAACACAAAAACATCCTGTACACCACAGTTATAACGAATTAAAACACACAGACAAATGTGCAATATAGTAACATGTAGTCACTATACAGTAACTGAATAAACACAAACATACATAGTGTATTATTTCTATATTATGGAATATATAATGTATCATATATCATGTGTATTATTACATGATAAATGGCAGTACAGTCAGAATGGCAGAGGGTGAGAGGGTGGTAGCTGAGAGATACAGGTGCATTTACTGTGGGGTTTTATCATTAGGTACTTTAACACCTCTAGACTCTGGTCATAATAGAGTTAAGCCCTCTGTGTTATTGGACCCAACACTGATAATCATAATCACAGGGTAACTGGGTATATCTGTATTACCATGTCACACCCCCACTTCATCTCACTTCACTGGCTACCTCTAGAAGTGTAAAACCTTGGTGCTCGCCTACAGGGCAGTGAATGGAACTGCTCCACCGTACCTCCTGTCAATCTTCAAACCCTACACCCCATCAGATCTCCCTGTTCTGCTACCACACCATGACTAACTGCCCCCTCCCTGCACAGTCACACCTCCCAGTCATGATGCCTGTCTGCACTGCCCCCCAGTGGTGGAATGAACCCCCCACTGTGATCAGGACAGCAGAATCATTGGTCATGTTCTGACACAGACTGAAGACTCCCCTCTTCAGACTACATCTTTGTACACACTAGGGTTATGGAAATTTATGGTTTATGATAATGATGGTCATGATTTTCTCATTAAGGCTGATTAAGAACGTGTTGGTTGTACTCAGGATTTGTTTTATAGTTAACCTGCATTAGTGCTTCAGTGATGTTAAATACAGTATATACTCACTGGTCTGGGAATGGGGTGAGTCAGGTCTGGCCCTACTGCTCATATTATTCTGGTGAATACACTTATGATCTCCCACACTGTAAGTCACTCTGGATGAGAGCATCTGCTGAATGACTGTAATGGCATGTAAAGTATTTGCTGCATAGTTAGATCACTGACACACTGGAAATATGTATATTTAGGCACAGGAGCCAAGAAAAGTTAAACAACATTGACAGGCTATGATCTGAGGCTCAGCTGAAATACAGTGGGTTTAAGAGCATAGATAGGCAGATAAATTAATAACATACACTACAAATCCATCACAGTTTAATACACCACACACACTTAACACAACCACATACAAGGAATTGTGGGACGGCATTTATCTCCTTTCCTTTTGTAAAGGATGGTCCAGTATAC